CCACTAGAATGTAAACTCCATAGAGGAATATACTTTTGTTTTGTTCATTAATGGATCCCAAGTGCCTAGAAAATGCACCTGGTATGTAGTTGGAATAAAATACATAAGCTTCTGCTGACTTAGTCTTGGTTTGGCTTCTTCTCACGCGCTCTCTCTCTCTCTCTCTCTCTCTCTCTCTCTCTCTCTCTCTCTCTCTTTATAGTATATTATCATTTCTTTTTTTTTTTTAATATATTTTATTGATTTTTACAGAGAGGAAGGGAGAGAAATAGAGAGCTAGAAACGTCGATGAGAGAGAGACATCAACCAGCTGCCTCTTGCACACCCCCTACCGGGGATGTGCCGCAGCCAATGTACATGCCCCTGACCAGAATCAAACCCGGGACCCTTCAGTCCGCAGACCGATGCTTTACCACTGAGCCAAACCGGTTTCGGCTCTCTCTCTCTCTTCTCTCTCTCTCTCTCTCTCTCTCTCTCTCTCTCTCTCTCTCTCTCTCTCTCTTTCTCTCTTTTTTCTTTTTCTTTTTCTCTTTCTCTCTTTCCATCTGACTATTTTATTCTGCATTGGCCTCACTATCTTAGGAGTTTTCTCTATGTGGCCCCAGAAAATCCAGGCTTAAAGCATCCATACACAGAGCAATTCCACAGGAATTAGAGTGTCAACTTCAACTAGCAAATTCTCAGTATAGTATGCACTTATTAGGCTGGCTTGTTCACATATCCATTCCTGCGACAATCATTATGATGGGTTGGGTGTTAGGTTGAAAATGGAATGCTCTGGTTGTCTTGAATGTTACTCATAACTTGGCCTGAGTAACTCATGCAAAGCATCCCTTGAAAACTATTAGATATGCAGGGTTTTGGGCCTCACTTCAAACTAACAAATTATATTCTGTAATTTAACAAGATTCCCTGGTGACCTGCCTTTAGCATGTGCCCACAGTTTAAGCTGGAAAAGTGGGTAGGGGAATAGAGCCACCAAACCATCATATTGAAAGTGGGGAAGGGATGCTCCTAGCAGAGGACAGGATGGGTATTGGCATGGGAAACAACAGATATTCAGTACAATATACAACATGTATTCAGCAATTATTTTATGCCAGGCACTGTGTTGTGCCTTTTTCAGGCATTAGTTAGTATTTACTACACCTAATAAGATGTTACCAAATAGATACCTAAGCCTTCAAGAGATTAAATGATTTATTCAAAGTTTTTGATGTGAGGCAATGGGAAGATTAATCTATAATATAATATCAAGTGGTAAGAAGTGCCCTGGAGAAAAATTAGGCAGGAAGGAGGAATAGAGTATGACTCAGGATGATGACATGGAGGGATCAATTTAGATGAAAAGGCCAAGGTGAATCTGAGGAAGTTAAGTTTGAGCAGAAACTTGTATGAAGTGAAGGACAGCTCATGGAAGTTCCAGGGTAGGCAGAGAACCAAGATGGTGGCATAGGTAAACACCTGTACTTGCTACCTTTCACAACCACATCAAAATTACAACTAAAAGTCAGAACAACTATTATCCAGAACTGTGGGAAAACCGGCTGAGTAGAAGGACTACAACTAGAGGTAAAGAAAAAAATGCACTGAGACTGGTAGGAGGTGTGGAGTCATGGAATGGGCTGGACCTGGGTGCACTGCCTTTTTAATAGGGAGGGAGATACAAGCTTGCTCTGAACTCCATTTCCAAGTGAGCATCTGGGGGACCCAGACACATACAAGGAGAAACTGAACTGCCTGGCATAGAGAGGGCATCTTTCTTTCAAACAGAGGTGCATGCAGCAGGCATTGTTCCTGCACCTGGGATCTCTCTGGTGCAGGGCTGACTGACAGCCATTGCTGTTTGCTACACCCTGGTGATTCCCTGAGACCCCACCCAAGCCAATTTACAACACCACCCAAACTGTGTGAAGCAGCTTTTGCATATGAATGGCCTGTCCTTTCTCTTTCTAAAACCTGCTAAACAGGCAACTCCCTGGGTCAGGGAGCCTGAAGCTATCAAAGGAAGGCCTTGCTTCATAGTTGGGCCTTGTCTGGGCTCTTCCAAACCCGATACAAAGAGGAGGAATCTGTAGATCTTTCTGTAGCTCCTGTTGGATGACCTCAGACAGTGGATGACTTTGTACCTTCTTGGAGATTCAAGAGCCAGTGTACCCAGTGGTCAGTGTGAGACCATACCAGATTACAACTTTTCACATCCATAAGTGACACACTAAAGGGGCAGATTTAGTGAGCACCAAAGTTCCACTGAAGCAAGTCCTGCCCCATAAGGGTGACTCCTACACAGCTGCTCTCCTCTGAGGTCCCAGCTGATCCCTATAGCCAATTGGCCTGGTGGTCAATTCCTCCTAGTGATACCAATAGTAACCAAGGCTCAACTACAACAAGACTATACACATATCCCACAACGTGGTGCACCAAGAGTGACTGGGGAGGCTGAGACACTGGGCCCTGTAGGACCTAAAACTTTTTAAAAAATTAAATAAAAAAGGAAGTTCCAGGGTAATACTATTCCAGACAGGAAAAAGGATGAGTACAAAGCCATGAAGTGGGAATGACCTTAGCATGTAAAAAAAAAAAAAAAAAAAAAAAAAAAAAGTGGGGCGGGGGGGGGGGGGGAGTAAACAACAAAAATCCAATGTGGCTATGATAAAGTGACTATGATGATTGATTCAGAGAGATAGCCCAAGAGTCAGTTCCTGAGGATATTAACCAATGTTTAAGACATTGTCAGTTATTAGCACAGTAGAACATCATTTGAAGATATAAAATGGGATATATGTGATTTTATTTAAATTTAAGATATACTGTCTAGGGAGCAGGCAACAATGAATAAGGAATAGATGGGGAAATTTAAGATGTCAGTGGGACTAATTAGGAGGCTATTACAATGCTAGTCTAGGCAAAAGATGAGAGAGGGTGGGACCAGCATGGTAGAGAGGAAGGTGAGAAGAAACAGCAGGTCTGGGGATATATGATAAATGTAGAGCCAACAAAAATCACTAATAGATTGAATATGTATGTGTGAGGTAAAATAATTACCATATTTTCCGGCGTATAAGACGACCCCCTAATTTTACAGTTAAAACATAGGTTTAGGCCTATATTCGCTGTATAATACTATCCCTCACTTCAAAGAAAAGACTTACTTTGTCGTCAAGATCTGCAGGTAATTTTTGTGCAATTTTGGTCTTTTGCCCCAATTTTCTGTTGACTTTTTTTCGTTTCAAAAGTCTTCTTATATGCCGGAAAATACACTCCTCTGTTTTGCCCTGAGCAAATTGGTGGATATTTGTGCTAGTTACTGCAATGGAGAACCTTAGAGATAGAACAAGATCGAAAATCAAGAAGACTGTTTTAGACTTGTCAAATTTGAGATGCCTCTTAGAGATCCCAGTAAAATTCTTGAACAAACAATTGGATAAACTACTTTAAAGAGGTTTAGAACTAAGAGTTTGGAAAATAAGACAGATGGCATTTTAAACCATGGATCTTCTAAGTAATCTAATTCAGGTTCTACTTCATAGTCACTCATCTCTTTATATGATTTTGAAGACTATCATATAGGTGATTTCAGTTGCTGTAATATTTAACACAGAGAGATAGTCTTTTAGTGATCTGTTTTGTAAATATTTTCAAGACTTTTTTTTTTTGGGTTAAACTTCAGAATGGAAATTCTAGATAAAATTATTTTGATAGTAAATATTTACCCATTTAAAATGCCCAAAAACCTGGTTGTTTTCTATCTAAACACCAGCTAGAAAAGTCAATATTTTCTTAGAAGGAAATGGTTTGGTCTGTAAATATGAGCAGAATGCTTTCCAAGAACACTAAGGCATTTCTTTTTGTAAAACAAAAAAATCTGAAGAGACAGCAGAGGAGAAAGGGTGAAACTAGCAAGTGATGGGCTTCAAGAGTGTTGCTGCTTTTGAGGATAAAAACAAATAATGATATTAGTTGCAGACATTTAGGTTGTCTAAATAATTTTTTTATTTTATTTTGTAGAATGATTGATAGGCTTTGCTGCTTGGTTGAAATAAAATATAGTAAATAAATATAGTAAATAAATGGGCCATTTATTCTACCCTAATGTCTAGTTACTACTTGTCTTAAAGAAACCTATTAAATAGAGACCTTTCCAAAATAATCTCAAAAATAACTGCAATCTCATCCCAATTATTTAGTCATTTTGGTCAAAAGTCACCACATATTTTTATATAAAAGTTAGTGGTATTATTGTTTTTATTTCTCAACTAGAAAGCATACTCTTATGATCTTCAATGTAAATATTAATTTTATAAATTCTGTTTTGATGTGAAGTAAAGCTAAGCAATTTTAATATACCTCATGAGTATATTCCATTTGTTTAATAGTTTCTATATGATTATTTACTCACTACCTTATCCAGGGATTCAAGTAACTTATATTAACTCATAAAGTGAAACAAGGAAAAAAATCAATAAAGAAAAAATCAGGTCTATGATAAGCCTGGATAGAATAAACATTCAAGAAGAAGGGAAAATTAGAACATGTAAGTGTTATACATTGTTGAGCATCACATTTATATAGTAAATTTCTCATTAAATCTGCAGGTGGTAAATAAATGACACTGTAGGGAAAATATGAGCATTCACAAAGGCATTGGAGCTATTGAAATTTTTATTAAAGAAAAACACCTCAGTTAAGCTTTGATTATAAGATGCTAAATTAATAGCAATTTACACATAGTTGATTAATTATTCAATCTAAGAAGTTCAAGTACTTAGTGATAAATATTTGCATTTGAAAAGTCATAACCAATGGGAAAACTATTTTTATGTCAATTTAATGTACTAATTGGATGTTAGTAAGAAAATCGGTGCAACAGCAGCTGCATATGCAATTGAATTTGATGAAATTATAATTACAGAGAAAAGACTGATCAAAATCAAACAGAGTGAAACTGTGCTAAAACCAAAATAGCACAAACTGATTTGTGTTTTTCCAAAAAATTCCAGGTGTTGTCAAAGTGGATTATGGAGATGTATCAGTCAGAAAAACACTGAGAGAAAATCTGAAGTGTAAGCCCTTTTCTTGGTACCTCGAAAACATCTATCCGGACTCCCAGATCCCAAGACGTTATTACTCACTTGGTGAGGTATGAATTATTTATTGTGGTTGAGTTATAAATACATTTTGAAAATAGAGCAATATCTAAGGAGCTCAATCTTTTTTACGTTATGAACAAAATGGTTTAAGGGCATTTAAATAGATCTGTTATAAATGACTTTTTATATATTACCAGGACCATAAAAATCTTTACCATTGGGATTTGTAAAAGTATGGGGATAGTTTAAGACTAACTAAATATTTTCTTATTTCTTTATCAATGGCTCCAAAACATTTTGGTCCTTTTTTCTTAAATTTAATTTAACTTTTAAATTAAATGTATTGGGTTGACACTGGTTAATAAGAGTACATAGGTTTCCAGTGGATCTTACACCCTTAAAATGTATGGTAAACTGCAAAGATCTTTTGTTGATGTGAGTTATAACAATAGACAGACCCAGTGCATGAAATTCGTGTATGGAGGTGTGTGTCCCTCAGCCCAGCCTGCACCATCTCCAATCTGGAATCACTCCAGGGATGTCCAACTGCCCATTTAGGCCCTTTACCAGATAAGATTGGGCCTAAACAGGCAGTCGGACATCTCTCTCACAATCCAGGACTGCTGACTCCCAACTGCTCTCCTGTCTGCCTTCCTGATTGCCCCTAACTGCTTCTACCTGCCACTCTGATCACCCCCAAATCACTCCCCTGCCAGCTTGACTGATGCCTAACTGCTCCCCCGTCAACCTCATTGCCCCTAACTGCCCTCTTTCACAGGCCTGGTCACCCCTAACTTCCCTCCCCTACAGGCCTGGATCTCCCCCAACTGCCCTCTCTTGCAGGCTTGATCACCCCAACTGCCCTCCTCTGCTGGCCATCTTGTGGTGGCCATCTTGTGTCTACATGGGGGCAGCCATCTTTGACCACGTGGGGACAGCCATCTTGTGTGTTAGAGTGACAGTCAATTTGCATATTACTTTTTTATTAGATAGAATAGAGGCCTGGTGCATGGGTGGGGCTCAGCTGGTTTGCCCGAAGGATGTCCTGGATCAGGGTGCGAGTTCCCTTGGGGCATGGAGAGGCCTGGGCAAGGGACCTGTGGTGGTTTGCAGGCCAGCCACACCCCCGGTGACCCAAGTGGAGACCCTGGTATCTGGGATTTGTTTTATCTCCTACAATTAAAACTTTGTAGCCTTGAGCAACGGCCAGGGCCAGGCAGAGCCGGCAGGATGCTTGGCATCTTTCATTGCCGTGCAAACCCAAGCCTCCTGCTTACTCCATGGCCACAGCCATCTTGGTTGGGTTAAATTGCATACTTGCTCCTGATTTGCTGGTGGGCGTGGCTTGTGGGGGGTAGTGGGGTTAAGGTCCTTTTGCCTATTTCTCTTTTATTAGTGTATATTTACTGTGTTGAAACTAAAACTGATAACCTTAAGACCTATTTATTAATTCACTAAAAATTTTGTTATATGTTAATATATATATGTGATGTTTTTGAAAATATATTTTCCAAAGCAAAAATCAAATGGTAAGAAGATTAGCATTATATATAGTTTTATATGTTGCAATAATATCTGGCCTAATAGTAGTTATCCTTGATCTCTGTTTCGGTATTCAATCTACTGTAATATCACACACCATGTAGTCTTTGGAAGACTCCTTGCACATTCTGAGAAGTGACAGCGAAAACTGCGAGTAATACCTTAGTATTATTATTAAAATTGTATCGACTTTGTAGGTCCACTGAGAGCCATTCTTTTTCAAAATATATATTATCTTTGCAAATACACAATTGCCTTTATCATAACTATACAAACACGTATTCATAATATATATTTAATTGTTCAAAGTAAGAATTATTCCTTTTTGAATTATATTTTCCTTATTTGTAATTTCCACCTAATGGGCATTAGATTTGGGAATAAAAACTAATTTAATAGTGGTTGTAACTAAAGCATTTCAACAGTAATGATGTAATGCATTTGGAAAAGAATTATTAATTTTGTTCTTCATTTGAAATTAGCATTTTTATAGGTTATATTGGGATATCTGAAAATTTATAAAATTTGAGCTAATACTTTTTAATTCATTGGCAAAAAAAAAAAATCTGTAACTTTATCCACATGTCACTTTAATAGACACACATAAATTAATTATGATTAATTAGAAAATAATTAAAGAAAAAAAGAAGACTCAAACCGAATGGCCCTTAGCTGAATTGTTCTGGACGGCTATTTTTCTGAGCTATCTCCATGCGCTGGTGACAAATTGCCACTTCCTCATTAGCTATGTAAATATCTCTATAGAATTTTTCAGTTTACAGATGCTTAACCTTAATCTGAATAACGTAGATTTATATGTAATAACACTGAATGTATCACTTTAGTCATTTATTAGTCCTGTGCCTCAGGGTTTTATACACTTACTTTGTTTGTTTTTAGGGGAGGGTGGTGTTGTTGCCATTGTTTCCAAATCCCATATAATAAAAGCATACTATGCTAAGTGTCCGACCGATTGGTCAACCTTTTGGTTGACCAGTCAACCAGATGCTATGATGCACACTGACAACCAGAGGGCAGGTGCTCCGACCAGTAGATTAGCTTGCTGCTGAGCTCCAGCCAATCAGGATTGACCTAGAGAGCCAGACACACTATGGAGCCCTCCCACGGAAGTCCCTCCCTGGCTGGCTGGCCCTGATCAGCCCCAATGGAGACTAGGTGAAACGGCCCTGATTGGCCCTGATCTCTGGCCAGGCCAAAGGCCCCACCCGTGCAGGAATTCATGCATTGGGCCTCTAGTATGTAATAAATCCCATTTTAGCACCAATGTCACAGCATCTATATTCAGTACAAGACATATATGACAGTGCTTTTTAAACTCGAATAGTGTTTGCATGCTAGTTATTATATTGCAGTTTACTGGAGATCCCCAATATAATAGTTAATACTCTCATTTCTTTACTGAAAAGTTGGCTTGAACAATCATGAGCCTGCCTGTACCCTTAGAAAAAGTGAGTTTTTTTAATCTTGTGGTAGAGTATTTCTCCTATTGTCATCAGTGGACCCAGGTGACCAGTAAACATTGATTACTTTTCCTAAAAGGAGATATACCGTAACCAGAGCATATAACATGATTGGTGTGAGTAAAGAGGACTTTTTGGAAATTCTCTAAGGCCACCAGGTATCTCCTGAGAAAGACTCAGTGCTCTGAAATGAGACCTTGATGTTTACTTCCAAGTTAAAAATCCAATTTTATGCTTTCCTGCACTACATCAAGGAAATCTAATTAATTGACTTCCTGAAAAGGTAAAAATAGAGTATAGTGTGGGCAAATTTCTTTGTACAACCTTACTGATTTTGAATTAGCTATCTTCTGTAATGGATCAGGTAGCCATATTTTAGTTTCTAGAAATAGTCTGAAACGCTTTGAAAGAGAGATATTGTGCCTTTCTGGATTTTTGAAACATATCCAGAAGAGGCAATATGTCATGTTGGGAAAAAATCCCGGGCCTTGGAATCAAGAAGAGGGTTTAAATTTGGACCCCACCGTTGACAATTTGAGTGGCACTAGATGCCCTCTCTGGTACCTGTCTGCAGCATGAAGATAATCATACAGGGTTATAGTGATGACTGGAGATTCAGGGAATTTAGCACTGTGCCTGGCAAGAAGTTGTAGCAGCACCAATACAGTTATTGTAATTATTGTTGATACCATTTATTGATTTCTTACTATGTCAAACATTATTCTAGATGCTTTATTGCAATTACATGATTTAAAAATCACAACTCATGACTTGGGTTTTGTTATTATCTTCCATTTAATATGGAAACTGACTTAGAAAAAGTATATGATTAACCTATGGGTCATAGAACTAGCTAGCTGTTGAATTTAGTCTGACACTAAAGCTCACATTCTTTATAACTAGAAGAATAAAATAGATTACATTATTATATTTTATGTGTTTAAAATGCTTTAGTAAATAAGGGCTTAAGCTGGAACCAGTATTATATAGTAAGGATGCAAAGTCAAATAAGGAAATACCTTTATTCTGAAGCTATTCTAGTGGGTGGAGGATGGCAAGAGAGAACCAAGAAACTCAGAGAAATCAAAGGTTTCTTACATATGTATTATAGGCATGCTATGAACTGCTGTTTCAAGAATCTGGCACATTTAAAAATCTCTATGACATAAGTTTTGAACTTTCTGGGATATAATGTACTATAGTTTTCCACTTTAAAACCAGCAATCCAGCAACTGTTTCCATGGAAACAAAGGACAAATTCACTGAGTGCTACTTCTCAATTCAATTTTTTGTAGTCAAGTATACACAATTTAAGATAGACATTTTGATAATGAGTTTGAGATGATGATCTGTTAATGGACAAGTAATTTACTTAAAGCTTTGTATTTCTTATTGTCTATCATTTACTATTATTAAAATGATATAAGAGCTATTTTCCTTATTTATAGGGGTACTATCTATCAAATAATTAGAACCTCAAAGAGCTATCACATGTCTAAGCTACTTATCAAGACAACAAAATTATGTTATTATAGTATATTCATATCTACTCAATTTCAAGTGAAATTGTTAAGATTTAACAATTTACAGTTTTCTTAAGTTTCAGTATATCTCAAAGCCTATATATAAAGACAGTATTTATTAAAATATATTTCATTTTCAAAATTGTGCTATCAACTGTTAAAATTGTATACATTTTGGGGGATACCCTGTATTTAATGTTGCAGTATATCGGTGAATGTAACATTCCTCTGTAGATTTTTTTAAAACTTTCCTAGCTATACTAGAAGATAGAGGCAAATACAGTATTCAATTTTTCATTATAGATTGTCACCAAAATAATCATCAGTAGAATTACTGAGGTCAGATGGTTATATCTTAATTTCTTGTTTTTATTTTCCTCAGGTAATTGAAATATTACTTCACCCAGATCATGAATTTCATGCAATTTTGAATAAGAAGTTAAAAGCTGTGCAATTGCTTTGAACTAAAACCTTTAAGTAGCTTAATGAAGCTTGTGCCTTTTA